TGTGTGTTCCTAGGAATTTGTCCCTTTCATCTAGATTATCCAATTCATTGGCATACAATTGTTTGTAATACTCTCATCATCCTCTTTATTTTTATAGAATTAGTTGTAGTGTCCTTTTTTGTTTTTGTTTCTAATTTTAGTTATTTGGGGCCTTTGTTTTTCTTTGTCAGTCTGGCTAAAGGTATGTCAATTTTGTGGATCTTTTCTCAGAATCTGTTCTTGGTTTTGCTGATTATCTCTTATTATTTTTCTATTCTTTATTTTATCTCTGTTCTCATCTTTATTATTTACCTGCTTCTATGAATATTAGCTTTGTGTTTAGTTCATTGTTCTTTTCCTAGTTCCTCAAGATATAAATTTAGTTTGATTTCAGATCCCTTGTCTTTTTAATACAGGCATAACTTTTCCTCTCAGTACTATTTTCACTGCGTTCTGTAAATTTTGGTATATTGTGTTATCATTTTCACATCTCAATTATTTTCTAATTTCCCTGTGATTTCCTCTTGGCCCGCTGGTTATTCATGCCCTCCATCCAGAACCTGGTAATTCTCTCTGTCTCTGGATATCTCGCCCCAGGGACATCACTCATGGCCCAGCACCTAGCCCAGGCTGGGAATGCTACCAGGAGCTGTTCACCTGAATGGCCATTTCATGCTGGGCGCTGCTGGTCAGGCCCTCATAAGGCAGGAGGAGCCCACGTGCTGACATCTGGAGATTGTTGGTTCACTTCCAAGGCTACTGCTACAGATAAGTTGGGGAACTAGACTCTGTGGTACCTGTCAATGACCTAGGGCTCTCTGTGAACCCAGAGAAGTGTTGACTAACTATAAATTTAGTCCAGAGTAAGAATGCTTTGAAGATACAACCACTTTAAGACAGGAAGATATTGAGTAACTTTGTAACCCACGAGGGGGAATCTGTTTAAGGTGGACTATGATGAGTAAAGACATTGCTGATGTTTACTTTTACTGTGAGAATAAAAGAAACAAAGGGAAAGAAAGGGCAGAACAGTTCTTTGAGGCGGTATCCTCCTTGTTCTCTGGAATTGCTGGCTTTTCTGTGAATAAAAGTGAAATTGTTGATCTCTAGTCTGCTTCTCCATTGATTGGCTTGGGTGACAGGCAGGCGGACTCCATGGAACATTGGAGGGATAGGTGGGGGTGAAGGGCCCCCCAGGAACTGAATGCATCAGGAAAGGAGAGGAACAAGTGGCAAAATGTCTTTGTTTTGTGGCCAGCGCCGCTGTGTTAGCAGAAGGCCAGCGTTCTCACAAGAATAAGGGTTTCTCTCTTGTTTCTAGACAAAGCTGAGATTTGACTAAAATGTTCCATTGTTCTCTGGTCTGCATCCTTTGCCTCATTGTTTTTCCTCGGAATTGTCTTCCTCCAGGAAGAGAGAGTTCAAAACTAAGACACAACTGATTACAGAGACCTTGCGACACAGCCTCCACCACCCCGCGTGGGCTTTGTCCCCACAGGTGCAGCTGAGCTGGCAGACCGCCTTCCCACTCGACCTTGCCAGAAAAGTGTGTCAGTAGGATAGCTTTTGTTTGGTTATTTAAACATTTTTTTTCCTCTTTAAAGAATTTTTGCTAAAATTCTGAGAAAATGACTCTGACCAACATGCAGCTATGGAGAGCTGGTGAGGGCGCTCATCATCAGGCCAACCTGATGACCACAGGGGGGGCGGGAGACTTAGCCAGGACCCCTGCCCATCCCAATTTTAGGACAGCTGGGCTGTCCTGGAATGGGCCACTGGGGCCAGGTACATCCTTCAGAGGGCAGCAAGCTTGTCTCCTGGCCCCACCAGTGTGTTCTAGAGTGTTCTCACTGCTCTGCAGGGCACCTCCACCCCCAGCGTGGGTCAGGCACACCATTCCACTTCCTCTTGCCTCTGACTTTTCCCTTCACGGCACTCCCAGAGTTTGCAAGACGTATCTGAAGGCTTCTTTTAGGTAATAACCACATTTTCTAGTATCCGGCGCTCTGACATCTGCACCTTGCAGTTCCTGGGGGCACTGCCCCTCCCAGGGCTGGACAGGTCCTGGATGAGGTAAAAACTCCCCTGTGAGTGCAGCTTCTGTGTGCAGACCAACCAATCTGCACTCCTAAGTCCCAACCACCTCCTGCATCAGGCTCTTACACTCTGATTACTATTTCCCTACCCTAATGGCCCCAAGGCCAAACAACTAGGGACAGCCCTATACCCAGAGTCCCCTGGAGTCTTTAACCCGGAGCCAGCCTCCCCATCACGCTGCTCCTTCCTGACAAATGTGGGCTCTTGACCCTGCATTCCCCTCACTCTGCCTCCTGACCACCATGCTGCTCCCCATGGCCCTGTGTGGTCCTCCCTGCCCCATTCCTAGAAATCCTGACAGTCGTTTCCTTGTCTGCATGTCTTGCTGTACTTGGATAAGGCAAAGCCCGGCTCCCCTTACAGCATCTTATTAATGATCCTCTCATCCACTGGACTGGGACCTTCCAGAGGAAACCACGTGTCTGCGTTATCCAGACTGCAGCCCAGCACCCGGCACATAGCATTTGTCTGATAAATGAATGAGTGGACATTGTTAAGAGCCCTTGGTAGTTCTGGGGAGAGAGTTTTATGAAATGCTTTTTCATGGTAATGCATCATCTCTCTTTAACCAGAATGACACTCCAGACCTCCCTGACTGAGACGAGGCCGCCTATGAGCCTCCTCCAGGTGTGCAGGTGGTGGCCGCAAACTCCGGCTAAGCCGCTTTCTTCTCCTTCTGTCGTAAACTGTGCTGGGCACGACTGCAGGGACCTGGCAAAAACACCCAGTAACTAAGAAAATGTAGAGGAACTGATCACTGCTTCTGTAGCATCTACAAGACTTTGGTGGGGGGGTGGGGGCGACTATATTTTAGTTGACCTTGAAGAAACCAAAGGCCTTTAGCAGACCAGATCTGAAGCACCTTTCATGTGCAAATCCCTGTCTGATGCTTTCTTTGTGTGACCTCTCTTGGGCTGACCTCATCCTTGTAGTATATTTAATTTCTTCTTTCCAGATGAAGTAATTGAACCTAACTGAGCTGAAGTAACCTTCACAAGGTCACACCATTAAATAGCAGAAGCAAAATTTGAGCCCAAGACTACACTGGACCAAAGTCCATGCTCGTCCCATTCTGCCAGGTGTAGTGTGTGTCAGATGCTGATCATGATAACATTGGACCCACAATAGCGTGTTCCCCAAATGTGTAGCGATCTGTACATTACCTAATAGTGATGCAGCTAAGTGTTGAATCCAGGCTGGTGTCAGAACCCACGGGCTGATCTAATTCATTCAGTTTTCACATGTGCACATGTGTGGGAGTTTGGCAATGGTGTGGAGGGCAGGGGACAGGCAGGGCTGGAAGCTGGATGTGACTTAGACTTATCATTTTTAGACATAAAATCTCTTGGATAAGGATTGGCAAAATCTGTGCGAGCAGTAACAATAGTAATAATGAGCAATGATAAATATAGCTGAATATTTGTTTTCTCTGAGCCAAACCAGTTAGGGTGAGGACAGCGTGTCTCCTTAAATTGCCTCTGTACTCTCAAACGGGCACAACATCCCTGGTGTTTGTGATGTTGAGGGAGCTGTAAACTCAGACCTCAGGTGGGTGCCTCAGTGATGAAGAACTCCTGAAATGCTGTAGATCCCTAGGCCTCTCTGCCTCATAGCTGTGTCTGCCAGCAACCCTCTATCCAACAGCCATCCATCAGCCTGACAGTGACAACCGAGCTCAGAAGTCTGTGCGCACAGGAGCCCATGGCTAGGGACAGATTGTGGCTTCCTCTGCCCCGCCTCTGCCCAATTCAGCTATCTTGGCCCCTAAGGTAGCGAAGGTGCAGAACAGCCTCCTCCCAGCATGGCACCTGGGGAGTTGTCACTGCTCCACCACTATTTTATTTTATTTTATTGAGACAGAGTCTCAGTTTGTTGCTCTGAGTAGAGTGCCATGGTGTCAGCATAGCTCATAGCAACCTCGATCTCCTGGTCTCAAGCGATCCTCTTGCCTTAGCCTCCCAAGTAGCTGGTACTACAAGCTCCTACCACCACACCCAGCTAGTTTTTCTATTTTTAGTAGAGACAAGGTCTTGCTCTTGGTCAGGTTGGTCTCAAAATCCTGAGCTAAAGTGATCCTCTTGCCTTGGCCTCCCAGAGTTCTGGGATTATAGGCTTGAGCCACCATGGTGGCCCATCACTACATATTAAAGGTGGGCCTGTGTCACCAGACAGAACTAGCTCAACTCAATGTCCTAAGTCACTGTGGAAACAGATCCAGGACCTCCCTGGCTGTCCTCTTTTTGCTGTTACCACCTCCAGTATCCACAGGAGCCCAGGGGCATTGCTAGGTAGCATGCCATCTTGGCATTCTTCTCTCTCTCCTTCCCTACTGGGATCACCTATCTCCTTGCACATTTTTCCTGGAGGAGCGACCAGACCAGGGTCAGAGGTGCTGTAGGACTCCTGTGGGATGGCAGGGTCCTTCCTCCAAGAAGACCCTCCCTGAGAACCAACCACTGCATCTCGGGAGCCTTCCCCTTCCAATGGTTTCAGTGTTCCCATTTCTAACACATACCTCTTCCAGAGGCAGTTTGTTATAGACAGCTTATTATCTGGAAGTTTTCCTCATCTTTCTCCTACTATTAACATTTCAGACATTTTCTCCATGGAGCCAGAGGTCTCTGGGTACAGAAAGAGGAATCCATGGACCATGATTTTCCTGATGCTGGTTTAGGAGGCAATGTGCTGTTGCTTGAGTTTATTTTATTTTACAATTCATTTAATGACAACTTGTGATCACAAAATTTCCCTACTTTAGTTGTGCCTTTAGACAAAAGTCTGCAAATGACCACTGATTATTTGAAAAGTCATTATATTAGCTGAACTGTCATTTTTCTTAAGGTTGACCAAAGATAACCTAAAATCACAGCCATGAACAGTCATTATATAATCACACAAAATGACCATGTAACAAATCAGACCTGGTTTCTCACCAACATTTATAAAACTATACTAGGGAAAGAACCGGGTCTGGAAACACATGCATGGTTTTTATATTTGGAATGTTTATCCTGTCCTGCTTATTATAAAACCAGAAAGGCAAGAATATTTACAGTTGTTTTTTGGTTGGTTGTTTGTTTTTTAAAAAGCTTACTCAGGTCTGTGGTCAAAGGTGAACAGATTATAAAATTAAGAAGTAAAATAAATTTACCCATCCCATCCCCAAGGCAGCAGTTTCATTATTCATGACAAGGAGGAGTATGGCAACTGCAGAGGACCTGCAAAGTTCGCCCAAGGCCACCTCTGTCTCTCTTCAGTCTGGAAGAAGATTTCTATCAAATATCCTAGAACACGTTGCTGGGTCTTTTTTGGCAGGATTCCACCCAACCCGTGCCCCACAACCCTACCCCAAAGAGCAGCATCCTCTGGAGTCCATCCCTCAGTTCTCAACCCTGAGGTCTTTGCCTCTTTCTGAGGAAGAGTCTGGCCTCCTGAAGGACGGTGACCTTAGGAGACAGAATGGTGAGGAGGAGAGCCAGCATGGACGGAGACCCACACTGGCCAAGTGACAGCTTCTACATTTTTGCATGAATCCTTATAATAATCCTGTAACACGTAAATCCTATGTTAGAAATGAAGAAGCTAAAACTCAGAGAGATTAAAAGATTTATGCTTTCTGTCATCACACAGCTGCCAAGACCCCACCCCCCCACCCCATCCCCCGCAGAGTCCCCCTGTCCCTGAGACTGTCCTTCTCACTGGGGTGGAGCCCCCAGGGCAGCAGGGGCTCGCTAATCTTCACACCTAGCCAATGTTCCATGGTCCAGGCATGGAAAGAAAGGGAAATGGAAATGGAGGGGTGACAGCCCAGGTGCTAATGCAAATAGCTGCCGAACAAAACAGAACCGACCAGAAAGCCCAGAAGAAGGTCCCAGCTACTTGGGAGGCGGAGGCAGGAGACTCGCTTGAGCCCAGGAGTTGGAGGTTGCTGTGAGCTGTAATGCCACAGCACGCTACCCA